ATTTTTGTATTTTTAAATATAAATTTGTCAATTTTAAAGTAAAAAATGCTCTATTTTCCGAGTACAACATTATGTATTTATGATGTAGTGGTAAATTAATTAGTGATATCTCCAGTTATTCACAGATTCAGTGCGTACATAGTTCTTCAGTTTTGCACCATACAATAAAACTCCGTTTAACTATGGTAATTATTTGGCCTGAAAACTATTGATAAGTGTTTGTTGCTGCTTCACCTTCTACGTCAAAGTTACACAACTGATAAAAGAACACTCCAGAATTGTCAAGCTCTTTGWGTCATCGTTCAAACAAAAGTTTGCATTTGATGGAACGAGTAGAATCCATTCTTTGCACAGCTTTCAATAGCTTCCCAACTGATTCAATTTATCAATTTCTACACTTATTCAAAAATGATTTTGATTGGAAAACTGACTTTATCGATTTTGTTAAAATACAAACAAAACCTTTTCAATTTAAGTTCAATGTTTTCTCAGACGTGCTGCTATTTTTTTTGCAAAGGCCAGTGATAGTATAAATAAAACAATACTTYAAAGAAGTCTACCACATTGCCTGTCTTGTTGTGAATAACGTTCAAGATGGAGTTTGGAAATATCTGCCTTCTGGTTCTCATCTCAGCCTTTGCAGCTCATGSTCTCAAATGGAAAAATTGTGGTAAGTAGATCTATTGCACGGAGAAAAGAAAAGAAAATAGGGAAGTGAAAACAAGTTTTAAAAATTTTATTAGAGTACTAATAAGATAAAGTAGAGGATGATAAAAAAAAAGAAACAGAATGCGAAAGAACAACAATAACACAAAATTAGAGGAAATCAAAGAAACAAATATCGATTTGAGAGAATGAGAAGAAACAAGGTGCAATGTAATGAAATAGAAACAAACCTAAAAAATTACAAGACGAAACTATTGAACCGGCATTGAAGATCAACAGAAGAACGAAAGCAASAAGACAATAATTATAAAAAGGAAAAGGTTTCGGGGTATTCYATGGACTGTATCAATAACATTGAAAAGGAATGATATTTTGTTTAATCATGGAGAGTGACAATCTGACTTTGATTGAGCTTAACTGATATGATTGAAAAACTTTTGTTTGATATCTTAGACTCAAACGACCCYGCGCAAGTTCGCGAATTCAATCTTGCTCCTGCAAACCCAATTGTTGTGCGTAAAGGGGCAAAAGTCAGGATCAGCGGCTCAGCCGAGATTCGTGGCAACCCTGGAGTAAACTACAGACTCCAACTTAAAATTCAAAAGAAAGTTTGGTTTTGGATTACGATTCCTTGCATGGGATATTGGTAAGTCGTTTGCTCTGCAGAATCGTGGCATTCCATGATAGCAATCAACCACTGTTCAAACAGAGAATTGTTGGTTAATACTAACCAAGTTGATGGCAAAGAATACATGTATTCAAAGTGCGGGTACGATGAGTTTCGAGGATAGCGGGTTTTTTTAGTTTTTGCCAGTTTGTATGACTATAAATAACACCATAAATAAGGTATTTTACATTTTAGATGAAGAAAACATACTGAAATTTGCCATTATTGTCGTCGATTTTCGATCCCGCAATCAATAGACAGCCATTTTGAAGATGAAGGCCGTTAGGGGCTGGTAGCGAATTTTGACGTCATATGCTTATCACGGGTGAATTTTTCAACATGAACTACTGTGTGAATCCAATGTGAATCGAATGTTGTTTTCGAAATATTGCAATGTTCTTGGCACAAACTGTTATCTTTACGTTATTAGCTCTATTGAACATTTATCACTGACTCCATACGTATATTCTATCTGATGTTCCAGCTCAGTTTTCTGTTTCTGAATGAGACGTGGCTGTCTGACAAGTTTTTTGTTGTCAAAAGCACAACAAGCAAACAAGGGTGAAGGTTTGATTGCTAAATAATTATTTTTGAGATATYAAGATATTTTGAATTTCGTAATCTTGGTCGTGCTATTGTATAGTTGGAAGAGGGAACTAATCGTTTATATATGTTATTTACCGGCTGGGAGTTCCGTATAGGAAAACACTGCCCGAGGTCTTGACAGTGCGGAACGAGCGCAGCGAGGTCCGTACATAAAAGACCGAGGGCAGTGTTTTCCTATACTGACCGAACTATAGCCGGTAAATAACATTTTTATTTTTTTATTTGTATTTTATGCAACTTTGCTCGCAGCATAGCTGCAGGATACCGTCGGACCGGGCAGATCGTGAAAAACCGGACCGCGCGCTAGCCAATCACAGCGCGTGACTAGGATACCGGACCGAAAAAAATTAAAAAGGCTACCATCTTCAATTAGAGTTCAGTAATTGTATCGACATYAGCTTGTATTGCTGTCTAATATTCGACGCAATGTAGCGGCCGGTTTGCAATAAAAAGACACCTTCGCACATTTGCTGATTGTTKTCATGTTGTCACTATTTTACAATTCTTCTCTCTTCTAATAGGCATATATTTTTTTRCATTGTAGTGGATCCGCTCTGAAACATTTAAAGATAAACGGCGATTTAAACGTTTTAACGTTATTTTGAATTTCCCACAAGTTTGGAAAAATGCGTTCTCTTTGAAACTAGGGCCTGGTGCGATGAATGTATAAATAAATGAATGATTCCATCTTTCCACGATAGTCTTTATCAAGCATTTTTAATATAGTGAATAACGAAAATCATAATATATGACAAGTGAAAGAATCATAAAAAAATATCCTTAAAAAATTTTGACCAACCTCCCATCACAAATTCAACGGCCTTCACTAACTGTCGAATTGGTCGTGACATTGACTGAGATAGCAAACACAAATATTCTCTTCGCCACCGTCCATATTGTACATATCAGCTACTCCTTCCCTCCCCATAAACACCCTTAAGTACGGAACTGAATATTAAGTAATTTCTTGTTTATTGTTAATTTTGAACAGCTCCCATGAAATTAGCTGTCAAAAGATCTGGCAAATTCTGCAGAAACCTGCTCAATGCCCTGTTGCACAAGGAGTTCACAGTCTTCCTTCTACRATAGTCACTATTCCGGATGTCAGCTTACCTTCATTTCTTGCGTCAGTAAGTAATACATTGAGTTGACTGGATTTTCATGAAAAAATAATATAAATAATGAAATAAAATATAATACAAGTTCTTTCGTACTAAAGTCAGTAAGTAATAATTAATACATTGAGTTGAGTGGATAGTCATGAGAAGATGAACAAATATATAACAATAGTTTGTTCCTTCTTCATATTACATTGTGAATAACCGATTTATTTTACCACACTAGTGTARATTCTTGCGCGCTGATTGGCTGGTAAGTGTGTCAATAAGAGAACATGTGATGACACACTGTGTGAGATTTCTCTTAAAAMTCCTTTTACATAGGAAGCACTTTAGCCTAACCTTGAAAGTGGTGATATCCGTATTTCAGGAGGAGCCGACGGGTTCCTGTGGGAAATATGTCTGTTCTTATGTCCCAGCCAGCTGCAAGTCACAACTGGTTGCAAGAGAGAAATTCAGRAAAAAGTCGTCTTTGACCATAAAAACGTTATATAAGYCTTTTTTGACTTTTAAAAACGTTTGCCARGAACAAACTTATTTTAAAGAAGGAAGGGCGCCACATTTGMTTGTGAKATTGTMAACAAYGTAGCTCGAAATCCCTTTCCCAGGAAAAAAATCGTACAAGAACAGWTATTTAGAAGAACAGACCCCGGCGTYTCCTCCTGCTATTTTACTGTAGTTAACATAGTGACTAACTGGTTGATTTTATTACTAGGGAAAATACAAGGTCAAAGGAAGCCTTTACAACAAAGACAGCAACAGACGAATTGGTTGCGTTGAAGCTGAGTTCAGTATTAGAACATGAACACAACGGCTGTTGACCTCTCTTGAMAAATAAAACTTTTCACTGCTCTGAATACTGAATTAGTTTATTGAACTTCTATCTTATGATAGATTCTGTTTTAAACTCAGTCAACATTTAGATGTTTTATCAATGCAATAAATATAACCGAATTTCGAATGACCAGATATCCCAAAAAAACAGAAAGTAAAAAAAGCATTCATCTATTTCTTCGTACCGAAGAGTATTTCGCGCGTATGATTTTTGCAAATGCAAGTAGTATGGAAAGGTCGATTCTGGGACACAAAGAACAAAAGATCCACAGGGTGCATTGGGGATTAAATGGGGATTAAAAGGGGATTACCATAGCAGAACAATAGCTCCACGGGGTGCATGGGGATTAAACGGTAGGACTCAATGACGTCATATCATTTCTATTTCAATATACTCAAACAAAGCGAGCATTTATTTTTAATTTCTTGAGATTCTTGTTGAAGAAAATGGCAACCCTTGAGGAAATTAGGGAAGAGATGAAAAATCAGTGATATTTTTGACTATGAGGATTACATTCAAGCGGGGGCTATGCTTGAAGACTTTTTAAAGTCTTTTTTGTCATCATCCTCATCAAGTTTTAGAGTTCAAAAGACTTTCTTGAGGATATGATGAAAAAACTTGAAAATACTAAGATGAATGCAGCTCCCAAAGGTGAACTCCAAAACTTGATGAGTATGATGACACTTTTACACCGTGGTTATAGGAGGTGTTCATCACAGCTTGATTATTGTCAAAACGTAATGTTAGAGTTAAGAAAAAGGCCAAATAATTGATGATGTATCATATTGGTATTTTGACAGTATGTTATTGGTGCTGCGATCATCTTTCTACAATCGTGCAACTATAGCAGATTCAACGGTGAACTTTAAAGCAACTGCATTAGATAGTCTTTTTTTAAGCAGCTCCTTCTGGGAGTATGATAATAGTATGAAGAAWAAAGCAAACCTTGACACTATGAGAGTGATGGCAATTGACATCATGGATGTGCAAACTGAAAATGGTCCTTTATAAGAATTGATTTATCATATTTTATTCGTATTATTCGTAAATTCAAGAATTTAGAAGATTTTACAAATCACGATCACTAAACAAAATTTGTTTTGTTTTGACTTACACTGTAAAGCAAAATCTTGACACCAAGATTCGACCAATCAACGCGCTAGAATTATGATATTCACTTATGAAATTATACTRAATAAAAATAAAATGAAAATCCTATACGAAAATCCAACTTGAGAATCCAACTCGAGAATCCAACTCGAGAATCCTAACTCGAAGGATAGGCATCCTTATACCAAAAGAGACATGGGCAGGCAATAACCGGCGGCCCCTTTGACCACTCGTCTGACTCACTAATCGGATTAAGTTGACAGGACCTAGGGACACTGATGACAGATTAGTTCTGGCCGAGCAAGTCTTCGTAGGCCCGAAATAGTAAATACGCTACCGTCGCGATGTTATATAACTCGTCGGGTTTCGAATCGAAAGTCATCTAAAAGTTGAGCGAAGCGCTCGTCAATAATTTTTGTTACATATGAAACTAAAATGTGAGTGTGTTGAATTCGTGTTTAAAAACGTTGAATTGAGAAATAGAAACAGTACATTTTAAAGCTTGTTAAGCAGCATTATATTCAAAGTGTCAGTCGCATAAACTTGTTTGTGAACGTGCTTTACGACTAACATTTAGCTTTCATTTCGGTTTCTTCCAAATGGACTTGAACTTAGATTTCGGCCAGACACTTTCTCCATTTAAATGGCGATAGTTTTGACCATCCTCAAGACGAGAGCGTTTAAGTTCAAATCCCGACCTCTGACGAGGTCACATTCAGCCTACGAAGACTCACTCGGCCAGAACTAATCTGTCATCAGTGTCCCTAGGTCCTGTCAACTTAATCCGACTGTTGACTGAAGTATTATAATATGGTTGATAATGCTAAAACTGAAACT